TGATTCAATGGACGGAAACGTACCCTTCAAATTCACTAAAGAATCACCCCTTGAAGTTTGTTGCAGTCATTCAGATACACCCTGTATATGTCATTATTAGCCTATCGAAACACACCCATTTACGGAATGTATGCTAAAGACAAATTTATTAAACCCAAAATTGATCAACAAAAAAGAATTTAAATCAAATTTTTTTAATCATCAAAACAAAACTAAAAGTTATTATGATTGTAAAGTTGCGTAATCATTTTAAGACAGGTAGCTTGATAAGATATCAATTTAAACAAAAGATATCTGGCAACCTGGCATAATAATTAACAGAATTGGGCCACGTTCTATAAAATAAAAAAATAAGATAGACGATGTATTATTCGCAATATGATTTATTTGAAACCCGATAAAAGCTCAAAAACCATAGATTACCAATTTAATAATTTACGAACTAATAAATTTGTATACGATAATACATGTGAAAATACTATTAATGATACGTTAAAAGCCGTAGTTATAGATAATCAAAAAACTTCAAGTTTTGGCAGAACTATTCGACCGCCGAATAGATATACTGCGGAATAGTTTCTAGTTTTTATTTTATTATCATTTAATAAAGTTTTCTTTTAAAATTAGTTTAAATAGTTAGTTTCAAGATAGTTAGTAATTAGTAACTATGTAAACTAGTTAGTTTACAGTACGAAAAGTAAAATAAAGAAAGGTAGATGTTATATTTAAATGTAAGTTTAAGTTTGTTGTATAAAACAGGTTTTGAAAATAATAAAAGTTCAGTTCATCTCCAGACGTGGTTTGATTCACATGACAGCGTTTGATGTTAAAGATGATATTCACAATAACTGGGAGCTCACTGAAGCTGGAAGCGACTCCAGGTTTTCTTACGCTCGCGTAATATTGCGTATCAAATTCTCTCTGCTAATGCATTGCGCATCTCTATTTCAGATTTTTAACAGCAGAGGTGCCATCTTTGTGTAGAATTAATTATAGAGAAGAATTAATATTAAGACTTGGTTTAGTTTTAATTGTTATTCAGCGCTAGATGATTGTACATTTTTGTTTAACTAAAAGTAGAACTAACTCTATGTAACATGNCTAGGTCTCTAACGCAAACACAATTAAACTATGCACAGATTGAAAAAGAATTTTTAGCAATTTATTTTGGTGTAACTAAATTTCATCAATATGTCTTTGGTAAAAAGTTTACAGTGGAAACTGACCATAAACCACTTATTACAATATTTAAAAAACCGCTAAATTCATGCCCACCACGATTGCAAAGAATTTTACTAGTCATTATAAAATTATAATATTAATCTTACATATACACCTGGAAAAGGTTGAATAGTGGCTGATATGCTTTCTAGAACACCTTTAGGGGAATTATTGAATCATAATTTAGATATTCAATTTCATATTTGCACTGTTACTAAGAAAATTAACATAAATGTCAGTAAATTAAAATTACTTATTGAGGACACAGATAAAGATGAAGAACTAAAACATTCAAAAAAAAAGGATGGCCTAACAAATCAAAAATATCCCAAATAATATTAAACAGTATATTAATCTAAAGTTCAATTTAACTGAAATTAATGATTTAATTTATCTGAATGATAGATTGATTGTAACTTCAACATGGAGAAATGAAATGTTAGCATTAATTCATACTGGACATTAAGGTATTACTAAAAGTCTACAAAAAGCTAAACATTTTTTATATTGACGTGGGATGACAAAAGATATAATTAATTATACAAAGTTGTGCACTTCTTGTTTGAAATATTTAAACTCTAATAGAAAAGAACCAATGATTATTAACAAAATTGAACAAATTCCTTGGTATAAGGTGGGAGTAGATCTGTATAAATTGTATGGAAAAGTTTATTTGCTGATTGTTGAATGTTATTAATAAAATGAAATCGACATTTGCTCGATATGGCATCCCATCTATTGTTGTCACGGATGCAGGTAAACAATTTACAAGCGAAAATTTGTTGGTATTTTCAAGAAAATGGAACTTTAATCACAAAATAGCTACACCACATCACCAACAATCGAATGGATTAGCAGAAAGGACTATTCAAAGCGTTAAAAAAGTAATTAAAAAATCAATTGATAACAATGATGGCCTAACGAAACACACCCATTTACGGAATGTGTACTAAAGACAAATTTGTTAAACCCAAAATTGATCAACAAAAAAGAATTTAAATCAAATTTTTTAAATCATCAAAACAAAACTAAACGTTATTATGATTAAAAAGGTGTAAAGTTGCGTAATCATTTTAAGACAGGTAGTTTGATAAGATATCAATTTAAACCCAAAGATATCTGGCATCCTGGCATAATAATTAAGAGAATTGGGCCATGTTCTATAAAATAAAAAAGGAAGATGGACGATGTATTATTCGCAATATGATTTATTTGAAACCCGATAAAAGCTCAAAAATTAGATAGATTACCAATTTAATAATTTACGAACTAATAAATTTGTATACGATAATACATGTGAAAATACTATTAATGATACGTTCAAAGCCGTAGTTGTAGATAATCAAAAAACTTCAAGTTTTGGCAGAACTATTCGACCGCCGAATAGATATACTGCGGAATAGTTTCTAGTTTTTATTTTATTATCATTTAATAAAGTTTTCTTTTAAAATTAGTTTAAATAGTTAGTTTCAAGATAGTTAGTTTACAGTACGAAAAGTAAAATAAAGAAAGGTAGATGTTATATTTAAATGTAAGTTTAAGTTTATTGTATAAAACAGGTTATGAAAATAATAAAAGTTCAATTCATCTCCAGACATGGTTTGATTCACATGACAGCGTTTGATGTTAAAGATGATATTCACAATAACTGGGAGCTCACTGGAGCTGGAAGCGGCTCCAGGTTTTCTTACGCTCGCGTAATATTGCGTATCAAATTCTCTCTGCTAATGCGCATCTCTATTTCAGATTTCTAACAGCAGAGGTGCCATCTTTGTGTAGAAAAATTAATAATATCGAACGGCGGGAAATGTTAGTTGAAAGATAATTATACAAAAGAATTAATATTAAGACTTGGTTTAGTTTTAATTGTTATTCAGCGCTAGATGATTGTGTATTTTTGTTTAACTAAAAGTAGAATTAACTCTATGTAACATGGGTTTCGTTGGTGAATTTATCGATATTTGTGAGATCTATTAACGTTAGGGGTGGGGATGCGGATATCATTAATCCGTACCGCGTTTCCTCTTCCTCTTTCGTTATCGATCCTTGGTGTAGTACACTGGTGTAATTTTTAGTAAAGCTTAACCGCATAGTTGTAGAAGATTTTTATTGAAGAATCTCATTAATTGGTTTTGGAGATCTTCTTGTCGTAGAACAAATCGACAAGAAGATCTAAACTAATCTGGTCAATTGTTATTGGCG